CCATGGCTGAATACATGGAACATGTTTTAAATGGCACAATAAAGAAAGGTGCATATCACCTTACCACTTGCAACTGACCATGGTTGAATACATGGCACATGTTTTGAATGGCACAATAAAGAAAGGTGCATATCTCCTGACTACTTGCATCTAACCATGGTTGAATACATAGAACATGTTTCAAATGGCACAATAAAGAAAGGTGCATATCTCCTAACTACTTGCAACTAACCATGGTTGAATACATGGTACATGTTTTGAATGGCACAATAAAGAAAGGTGCATATCTCCTTACAACTTGCAACTTACCATGGTTGAATAAATTGAATATGTTGTGAATGGCACAATAAAGAAAGGTGCATATCTCCTTACAACTAGCAACTAACCATGGTTGAATAAATGGAACATGTATTGAATGGCACAATACAGAAAGGTGCATATCTCCTAACTACTTGCAACTAACCATGGTTGAATAAATGGAACATGTTTTGATTGGCACAATAAAGAAAGGTGCATATCTCCTAATTACTTGCAACTAACCATGGTTGTATACATGGCATATCTTTTGAATGGCACAATAAAGAAAGGTGCATATCTCCTGACTACTTGCAACTAACCATGGTTGAGTACATGGCACATGTTTTGAATGGCACAATAAATAAAGGTGCATATCTCCTGACTACTTGCATCTAACCATGGTTGAATACATAGAACATGTTTCAAATGGCACAATAAAGAAAGGTGCATATCTCCTAACTACTTGCAACTAACCATGGTTGAATACATGGTACATGTTTTGAATGGCACAATAAAGAAAGGTGCATATCTCCTAACTACTTGCAACTAACCATGGTTGAATACATGGTACATGTTTTGAATGGCACAATAAAGAAAGGTGCATATCTCCTTACAACTTGCAACTAACCATGGTTGAATAAATGGAACATGTTTTGAATGGCACAATAAATAAAGGTGCATATCTCCTGACTACTTGCATCTAACCATGGTTGAATACATGGGACATGTTTTAAATGGCACAATAATGAAAGGTGCATATCCCCCAACAACTTGCAACTAACCATGGTTGAATACATGGTACATATTTTGAATGGCACAATAAAGAAAGGTGCATATCTCCTAACTACTTGCAACTAACCATGGTTGTATACATGGCATATCTTTTGAATGGCACAATAAAGAAAGGTGCATATCTCCTGACTACTTGCAACTAACCATGGTTGAGTACATGGCACATGTTTTGAATGGCACAATAAATAAAGGTGCATATCTCCTGACTACTTGCATCTAACCATGGTTGAATACATGGGACATGTTTTAAATGGCACAATAATGAAAGGTGCATATCCCCCAACAACTTGCATCTAACCATGGTTGAATACATGGCACATGTTTTGAATGATACAATAAAGAAAGGCGTATATCACCTTACC